GTAGGCTTTTCTGCAATCCCTTCCCTGCCCTTTGAATGTAGAAGCTAGAAGATGTCCTGTAAAGAAGTCATAAGATGCTGTGTAAACCAGAAGACTGAGTGCCAATTGCATGTTGCTTAGTCTCCTTCAGGAAAGCCCAAGCATGTGCAGCATTGTTTAGTTGTTTGTAATTGATGCACGCGGAGAAGAGGGTGCTTTTGCTTGTGTATGGGAAACACCTCCTGCTGACAGTGGGAGAATTTGGGGGCATAAGGTTTTTCTTTTGTTATAAAAGAGAAGCTGGGCCCTAGAAAAGTTTATCGAGCTTTTCCTAAATCTTTCCCTCATTAGGTTAACAGTATCAGAACTCCTGGTGTGGCGCTGTTGCACCAGCACTGGACTTGGAATCACAAGGTTGGTGGTTCAAAGCCACCAACTACTCCTTGGAAACCCTATATATATGAGTCGAAACCGACTTCATGGCACTTAACAACAACATCATGGAGCTTGGTTATAATTGATGCAAACAGTGGCTAAACATCCTGGTGTGGCGTTGTAGGATAAGCACTGGACTGCAAGGTCCATATGAACCTCATTGTTGGTGGTTCAAACTCACCAGCCACTCCTTGGAATCTCTATACAAGGTCACTATGAGTCAGAACCGACTCAACAACACTTAACAACAACAACAAACATCTCAAGCTGTTGTTGGCTTTAGAACTTCATATGCTATATTGTTGTTGTTAAGTTCTATCAAGTAGGTTCAGGCACATTGTTGTTGTTAAGTGCCATCGAGTCAGTTTCTGACCTATAGTGACCCTGTATAGGATTTCCATGGAGCAGCTGGTGAGCTTGAACCTCTGACCTTGAAGTTCAAACCGAGTTTGCAGTCCAGCGCATTAACGCACAGCACCATTTCCAATGCTATCAATCATTAGGGGTGCAGAAAGCCTCATCTTTCTCTTGTGGAGTGGCTGGTGGGCTTGAATCATCAACCTTGTGGTTTGCAGTTCAGTGCTCTTCCTATGTTGTTGTTGTTGTGAAGTGCCGTCGAGTCAGTTCCGACCCATAGCGACCCTGTACAGGGTTTCCGAGGGTGTAAATCTTTATGGGAGTAGAAAGCCTCATCTTTCTCCCGTGGAGCGGCTAGTAGTTTCGAACCGCTGACGTTAAGGTTCGCAGCCCGATTCGTAACCACTACGCTACCAGAGCTCTTCCTATGTTGTTGTTGTTGTCAGGTGCCATCGAGTCGGAACCGATTCATAGCGACCCTATAGTGAACCCAAATAAGTACTGTGAGTTGTTGGCTTCAGGATGGGTTGGCATTTTCCAGAAATCAGGTTGGACAGTTGTTTTTTTTTAATTATGTAGAAAATAAGATAAAATACATGTAACTGGTGTGTGTGTTGAGGAGGCGTGGGTAAGATTAATGTTATGGGGCCAGCAACAACTGCCCAATCTAATGAGTAATGGACCCTGATTCTTTACGGAGATATGAGTGCTTCTGGTGAGTCACATGCATATTTGGGGGCTGAAGGAACTCAAAGATGAAGAAGAGTCAGCATTGGTGGGCTGAACCCAGCAAGCAACTCGGGCATGTAAAGAGTTGTGTATATATGTAAATTGGGCTGACATTGTAGCATATGGATTGCATCTGCTCAAAAAACAAAACAAAACAGGAAACTAGTTTAACCCATGATGCATCATGTCTCAAAGGTTACTCTCTTCTATATCTGTCTCAAGGTCTGCTGGAAGAGAAATGGCAGGTGCTTGTCAATCAAGAATTTACCTGGAGTTCTTTTAAATACTCTGCTGTCTTAATCTTTGGTTATGAATTCTGCTGCCTGTGTTTAAGCCTCTAGTTTCTTTCATATGTATTGCAGAGGAGTAGAAAGGGATTTTGGTCTCACTTTCTAAGTGAGCGTATTAAAAGACTGAGAGGAAGTAGCCCTCTTGAATGAGTAAATGTGCACAGTGGAGGCAGATACCACCCACCCACTGAAACTGATGTGTCCCGCTGTCTTTCTCACCCTACCTAGCCTGTCCTGTCCAGAAATATGGAATAATCCAAGGGGGGAAACTGCTGATAATGATTCATCCCGTTGTTGTTAAGTGCCATCGAGTCGGTTCTGACCCATACTGACCCTGTATAGGGTTTCCGAGGAGCAGATGGAGAGCTTGAACTGCTGACCTTGCAGTTCAAATGGCTTTGCAGTCTGGCACATTAACCCACAGTGTCATACCAGGACTCTAATCCAGCCCTTATAGCAGTATTTATTACCACTTGGATGATAAAGACAATTAAAACCAAGCAAACACATTACACACAACGTAAATAAAACTCAGTTTCACAAAATGATACACACGTGCATTACTTTCAGTGCATTCTACTATTCTCTATTTCCTTTTTCTTTCTTTCTTTTTAAAATGCTGGTTGTAGCTTCCAAACAGGATTGTGCAGTTTAAAAATCTATACCGTAGCCGATAAAGTGTTATCTGGGTTGGTGACCACCTCTCAGTAAGTCTTGGCTCTAATCTGTCCTTTTGCTTGCCTCGCCTTTGCGGCTATTGCTCTGTGATGGAGGGATCACAGTGGGTAGGAAATGCAGTTGAATCAGAGTGCCCTTATGTTGGGAAGGAGGTTCATAGCCTCCTTCAGAGGTACAGTGCAGGGCGCTGTCAGTATGCACCTGGTCTTGTGTCTGGGGCAGTGTGTGTGTGTGTGTGTGTGTGTGTGTGAAGGGGACTTGAAGTTTAGATGGACTTGAAGTTGAGACCTGGCAATGAACCAGGGCTTTTGCCCTGGGGCTTATGATGTAGGCTCTGCTATCAAGCCAACCTGGACTGTGTGGACCGAGTTGGCTGTATGGACCCTGTGTTGCCCTTTCCATATCAAGCCTCTAGGAAGGTCAGGAGACTGATGGGTCAGCCTTGACGGGGAAGAGCACCTATTTCTCCAGGCAAAAAAGTGTAAGTATTGGAGATAGAATCTGAGGAAGGATGTTGTTGTTGTTAATTGCTGTCCAGTTGGTTCTGATTCATAGCAACCCTGTGTAGGGTTTGAGGAGTAGCTGCTAACTACCAACCTTGTGGTTAGCAGTCCATTGCTTATTCTACAGTGCCACACAATTTTCTACTGGGAAAAGAAATGGCAGTGATAACATGGACTCTCTCATCTGAGATGGCCCATGACTTGCCATGGCCATCTTGACCCCTAGTTCTTCCGGAGTGAGCACCCCCAGGATGGTTATTTACTACAATACTTGGTGAACACCTACTATGTGTCAAGTGCTCACTGTAGTGTGTCTTTAGAATCATGGTTTAATTGAGGGACACAGTTAAATAAAAAGTCTCAATACATGAAGATGGGCAATAAGAAACATGCTTGGGCTTGAGTAACCCCAACTCAGACTTCCCAGTGAAGGATGGCTGTAGAATTTAGGATGATAATTTGTGGGGGACATGCTAAGCCACGAGACTACTGGTGCAAAGGCTGTTGTTAAGTGCCGTTGAGTTGGTTCCAACTCATAGTGACCCTGTATAGGGTTTCCAAGGAGCAGCTGGTGGGTTTGAACTGTTGACCTTGTGGTTAGCAGTCTAGTGCTGATCCTACAGAGGTACACCAGGAGCAAAGGCTAGAGTGTATGAAATAGCAAGCAGGGCTGTGCTTTTAAAAGAAGAAAAGATTTTGTCAAATGATGTAATGGAGTACCCCAAAAAGCTGTTAAATTCACAAATGAGAAATTATAGAAAGAAGTTAACGATTAGACTTGAAGCTCATGAAAAGAAGTTTAGACTGAGAGTTAAGACTATTTCCACCACCACCCCCTGCTCTCAGGAGTGTGTGCACACTATTTTAGTAACTTCCTTACCCCAAACAGAAACTCTGTATCCATCAGGCAGTAGCTCCCCATATTCTCCCACCCCTGACCCTGGTGAACTCTAATCTACTTCGGCCTCTGTGCATATGTCTAGTCAAGAGATTTCATATAAGTGGGATTATATCATGTTTGTTCTTTTGTGTCTGAATTATTTCACTGAGCATATGTGTTTCAAGGTCTATCTGTGTCATAGTATATATTGGAACTTCATTTATCTTTTGAGAAGCATGTCTCCACTGCTTGATTTTGAACATTGATTTTAAAAAAAGGTCTTCTTAACGCTTGAAGCAAGCTTTAACAGATTTTTTTTTTTTTTTAACTGCTATGAGCTTTCTTTTCATCCAGTATTTTGCCTTGAACTACACAGCTACTTTCATCTTGACTATATTCAAGCCAATATAGTCATGGACATACCCAGTTGAAATTTTTGAATTTAAGTATGTAGGATGATAGCCATTTGGAGGCCTTTTTTCCTCTTTCTTTTTCTTTTTGTGTCTTTAAAGGCAGAGAGTAAAAGACTCTATTCTGAGAAGACAATATAGAAGTGATTTCTCCTTCCATACGTGTTGTTGTTAAATGCTGTGGAGTCTTACTCACAGTGACCCTGCATAAGGTTTACGAGGAGCGGCTGGTGAGTTTGAACAGCCGACTGGCAGTTCAAACTGACCAGGACTCCTGTGCTTCCAATATGCCCCTTTAAAAATGTAGGCAGCTGTATACCTCTGCTAAATACTAATTGCCTCAGTTACTTTTTATCCAGATCACTCAGATGACATCTGGTTTTCAAGGAATTAAGAATAGTTTGTTTCTCTTTGGTGACTAAGTTACCCACTTACTTTCATCTTTTCTCTTTATGACTCCAATAGGTCTCATCTAAAGTTCACAAAAGGAAGGACATGGGATAAGGTTGGCCACCCAACTCAACAAAGGATGCCAGCTTGGAGAAAGTAGGACAGGCCAGTGCCTCTTCATTCTACGCTGTGTTCCGTAACTCATGAATTAAGAAAGCTCCCTTTCCATTTTTAATTATTGATATTTATTAAGATGGACATCTGTTTTAAAGCATATTCAGTTCTGTGGTCTGAAAGAAGCAAGTGCCTATTTAAAACTGATCCTAAATAAAAGGTGACCTGACTGGACATCAGGATGTTTGTCAGTAGCAGGAGGATCAAGAAATGGCAGTTTGTTCAGATAGTTGCCACTTGTTTTATACTAAGCCTCATGTGTTTTTGGATCCCATCTGATAATCACATTGTGAGCCACATGAAGTCCTACTCTTACAGATACCTCATAAATAGCTACGACTTTGTGAGTAATACCTTATCTATTAACCGCAGTTTGGAGGACATTCCTAGCTTCCGGTACTTGATTAACCATAAGGAGAAGTGTCAAGCACAAGATGTCCTCCTTTTACTGTTTGTAAAGACTGCTCCTGAAAACTATGAGCGTCGTTCTATGATTAGGAAAACGTGGGGCAATGAGGAGTATGTTTCATCTCAGCTGAATGCCAATATCAAAACTCTGTTTGCCTTAGGGACCTCATCTAACCCACTGAAGAGAGAAGAACTGCAAAGAAAACTGGTTTGGGAAAATGAAATGTACAGTGATATAATTCAGAAAGACTTTACTGATTCTTTCTATAATCTGACTCTTAAATTACTTCTGCAGTTCAGTTGGGCAAATGCCTTTTGTCCACATGCCAGATTCTTCATGACTGCTGATGATGACATATTTATTCACATGCCAAATCTTGTTGAATACCTTAAAAGTTTAGAACGAATTGGTGTGCAAGATTTTTGGATTGGTTATGTTCATCGAGGTGCCCCACCCATTCGAGACAGAAGGAACAAATACTATGTTCCCTATGAAATGTACCCATGGCCAGCTTACCCTGACTATACTGCTGGCGCTGCGTATTTGATCTCCAGTGATGTAGCTGCCAAAGTCTATGAGGCTTCACAGACCCTTAACACTAGTCTTTACATAGACGATGTGTTCATGGGCCTCTGTGCCAGTAAAATGGGAATAGTACCACAATACCATGTGTTTTTTTCTGGGGAAGGTAAGACCCCTTATCATCCATGCATCTATGATAAAATGATAACATCCCATGGACATGTACAAGACCTTCAGAGCCTTTGGGAGGATGCCACAGATCCTGAAGTTAAAAGGATTTCAAAAGGTTTTCTTGGCCAATTATACTGTAGGTTAATGAAGATAGCTCTCCTTTGCAGATTGAAAATGAACACGTACCCTTGTAGGGCTGCATTTATCTGACAGTACTTGAATGTTGTCTGTTTTCACTGTCACTGAGCCAAACCTGTCTGAAAAATCTTTAAATGTTTGTGTATCCCCTAAGTAAAATGAATATGAAAGACATAAGAAATATTTTGAAAGCCGGGTCTCTCAGAATGTTTCTTTAATTCTAGAAGCTATTCCATGTAATTTATCTAGACTTCATTGCCTATATTCGTTTCAAGGGGTTTATGTTTAGAAAAGATTAATATTTTTAATGAAAACAACAGTAAAGGGAAATTGAAGTTCTCAATGCCAATGTGTATTTGCAGTGTGAGAATAACTGCTTTTGGAAAAATACCAGGTGAATGTCGAGTACAGCATTTCAGTATTGTTGGACCAAGTATGTAAGTTTATTACAGAGTGCTTAGCAAAGGTGGCAGGGAGAAGGGAGTGTTGGCACAAGAAAAAGTACATGAATCTGATAAAAGAAAACCTCTTATTATTAACAGGAGATTCAGAAAAGTATGCACATTTTCTTACAAACAGCCAAATCATTTATTGTCATATCCATGTAGTTCTTGTACCAAGAGAGTATTGAAATCATTGACAATATGCTTCTGTATGTTTTTCAAAGCATAATGTGAAATTCGAGAAAAGTCACTAACTCTTGCACTAACTGGTTCTTCATATGGCTTTTTTTGAATATTAGAAAATGACACAGAACACAGGCAGTGTGTTACCCATAAAAGTTCTCCCCCAGGGAAAAATCTATGTTAATTCAATTAAGTTTATTTTAATAGAATGAATTTTCAGCTGTTTTTAAGTATCCAAAATTAGTCTGTACTTAAGTATCCAAAATTAGTCTGTACTTCATTATTTGAAATGTGGTTTGCGTAGAAGAACATGTTGTTGTTGTTGTCAGGTGCCATCGAGTCAGAACCGACTCATAGCGACCCCATGCACAGCAGAACGAAACAATGTCCGATCCTGGGCCAACCTCACTACCGCTGCCACACTTGAGTCCATCAATGATGCCACCTGGCTGATCCATCTCGTTGGGGGTCTTCCTCTTTTTCTCTGACCCTCCACCCTACCCAGCATGACATCCTTCTCCAATGATTGTTTCCTCTGGACAATATGTACAAAGTAGAAGAGACGAAGCTTAGCCATCCTGGCCTCCAAGGAGCACTCTGGCTGCACTTCTTCCAAAACAGATCTATTGGTTCTTTTGGCAATCCATGGCACTTTCAGTATTCTCCTTCAACACCACAACTCAAAGGCATCAATTCTTCTACGATCTTCCTTATTCATTGTCCAGCTTTCGCATCCATATGAAGCTATTGAAAACACAATGGCCTGGGTCAGGCGCACCCTAGTCCTCAAGCTGACATCTCTGCTCTTCAATACTTTAAAAAGTTCCTGTGCAGCAGATTTGCCCAGTGCAATATGCCGTCTGATGGTTAATGTTCAACCATTTCAAGAGATACCATATGAACAAGAGCCAATGATACTCAGAGAGGAAGTCCAAAGTGCATTGAAAGAAGTGGCAAAGAACAAGGCACCAGGAATTGATGGAATAAAAATTGAAATCTTTCAGGAAAGCGAGGCGGCACAGGAGGCACTCACTCATCTCTGCCAAGAAATTTGGAAGACAACTGTCTGGCCGACTGATTGGAAGAGATCAATGTTTATGCCCATTCCAAAGAGAGGTGACCCAACAGAATGCGGAAATCATCGGACAATCTCTTTGATATCTCAAGCGAGCAAAGTTTCGCTAAAGGTAATACAGAAATGGCTACAATCATACATTGACAGAGAACTTCCAGAGGTTCAAGCTGGATTCAGAAGAGGTCGTGGAACGAGAGATATCATTGCTGATGTCCGATGGATCTTGGCTGAAAGCAGAGAATATCAGAAGGATGTTTACCTGTGCTTTATTGACTACGCAAAGGCTTTCGGTTGTGTGGATCATGACAAGCTATGGATAACATTGAGAAGTATGAGTATTCCAGAACACTTAATTGTACTTCTAAGAAATCTGTACCTAGACCAAGAAGCAGTTGTTCGAACGGAACATGGGAACACTGAATGTAGAAGAACATAGCAATGAAGAAGGCTTCAAAAGAAAAGATAGAACTTATTTAAAAATCTCTTTATACATAATTATAGAATAAAATTCTTTGTGTCTGAATCGTTGTAATGATTACTAAAATTAATCCACCCATCCCCAGCAAAGTCTCATAAACTATAATACTTTGGTCTAAGTTTAGATATTCTCAATGAGAGTATTAACCATCGATTCAAAGCCAAGGTATCTTTACAAAATCTGTTCTTTCCTCAAAACAACCAGGATAGGTGATCTTTATCTTTTACTTATTTCCCACTTGAATGGGAATGAAAAGTGATAGGAAAGTCATCAGAATAAGATCAAAAGCATTTGTATAGCTGAATATTCCTTGTAATCAAAGAGATGTGCCTGAGATCTAATAAAGTAAGTTATATTTATTGTGTAAAACAGGATAAAAATGTGGCCATGATACAAACAACTTCCCCTCACTAGAAAGAACTAGGTGATGGCTGTTGGTAGAGGGGTTGGAGAGAGACCAAACTAGTGACTGAAGTAAAAGCAGCTGAGCTGATTATAAAGCATTTGGATGCAGAGAGGCCTCTTAAGAAAAGCTAAGATGCCTCTTCAATAAGATGATGTCTGAAACACAAAATCCCATTCTCACTATACCCAACTGGATGATGATACTTAAAATGTAGTAGGCATATTTTTAATGTTTACAAAAGTATTTTGTTAATTTATTTTCTGTTTTGGAAATTGAGGCTTGTTTACATTGCTCAGATAATTTAATGTTCCAATTCCACTATGAGTTGGAATCGACTCGACGGCACTTAACAACCACAACAAGAACCAATGTCAGAATTATGGTACCAAACAGTCTAGGTTGTAGTTACTTTCAGAGTACGTTCAGGAATTTGTTGATCATTACAGTTTAATTTTTTGGATACATTTTTAAAACTGAAGAAAACCAAAACACATTGTTATAAGGCAGACTTAAAAGTTTTACTAGTGGATCCTAAGGAATCCTGGTGGTGCAGTGGGCAAAGCATTGAACTACTAACCTAAAGGTCAGTGGTTTGAACACACCAACCACTCCATGGGATAAAAATAAGGCAGTTTGCTTCAATGGAAATTTACAGGCTTAGAACGCCATGGAGCATTCGACACTGTCCTGTAATGTCACTCTGAGTTGGAACTGACACGGTGCTGTAAGTGGGTCTAGATGTGGTTGACTCTTAAAGAAGAACATTTATGCCTTTTGACCACATACGTCCTGTGGTATTTATCAATACTTGAAACAATATAAATTTGCCATTGGTTGATAACATCTAGTTTCTGCCTAGCTTTGGAAATGATCTTGTTTACAGCAGTACTTTCATGAAACCATTATTTAAATGTTGAAAAAGTTCTTCTGAACTGTGTTCATTTTAAACTTTTATTTAGAATAGAATGTAACATGTTTAAATTAGAAGGAACTATGAAGGCATTTCCTTTTTTTTTATCTAACAGGAAGTTGCTAGATGCTTCCTTAATTAGACGTAAAGTACCAAGAAGAGTATTTGTTATTAAAGGATTCTTACCTTCAATTTATAATTAAAGGATTCCAACCTGGTATGGCGCTGTGGGCTAGTGTGCTAGACTGCAGAGTTGATTTGAACTGCAAGGTCCATGGTTCAAGCTCACCAGCCACTCCTCGGAAACCCCATAGAGGGTCATTCTGAGTCGGAACTGACTTGATGGCACAAGGTAGTCTTTTTTTATTTAATGTCAATAAAGAGAAGGAAAAAAAAAAAATCAAAACATCAAAAAACTACCAGCTTGGATTGTCATTTGGGTAAGAGATGTATGTATGTATGTGGTATTATTGCTAAAAACTTTCTACCTCTAGGTTGGTTTGCATCTTTTTTCCCTATCACTAATTTAAAAAAAAAAACAAAAAAAAAAAACTTGTTAAATATTTATATTTTAATTTTGCTCTTGTATGGAAAAATGATTAGTGCTATTTAAAAAATAAATCAGATTTTTTAATAAACAACTTAAAAATTGGCAGCAGATGTGTATTTTCACGAAGAACTTTTAACTCTTGTGTGAGCACCAGTTGTTTATAACATTAACTTGCTCTGTGTAATTTCAGAGAGGTATATACTATGCAGTGTTGCTTCTGGTCCTGTTCAGACTCGCTGCTGTGTCCAGGAGTGCTGATTACTGTTTCCTCTGCATTGTGGAGCCACTTAAAATGCCTTTTGTTTGGTACATGCTATGTGCTGTTAATGATGTCTAAGTGGGGAAATGTCTCTCCTAATTGTTCAGGAAGCAATGAAATAAGAACCTTGTAGTACACCATTTGAAAAGGTTGCATTTCTTCCTGTTTCATACCATTGGCTATTCAAAAGTAGATTCAGATTGAGGCGTGGTCTCAAGGTCATGAACGTTCTCATGTCTCTTTTGGAGTGTGTGGTGCTTGAGTATATTTGTGCATTGTTGGCTGTCATCTGTTTGTCACCTGACTCCTGCTCGTTCTGTATTATACTATACAGTATGATTCATTTTATCTTTCTATTTTACAATTTCACCTGAATTAATTTGGTTGTAGTAAAATGTTTTTACTTGAGAAGCAAGGTTGGAATGTTTGTAGTTGTGACTAAAATTATAATTACTCAGAAGAATTAATGAACTTAAACTATATTTGGATACTTCAAGTGGACAATACAGCTGGAATGTAAATGGGACCAGAGAATCCTTGAAATATAAGGATATTCATTCTATAGTCATAATGAGAAAAAGGTGTCTCCTTAAATGTTTTATTTCCAGTTACTTGCATTCTGCCAGGAGACAAGCCCCAATCACAGCTTTCATTAGGATATTGCTTGGCTCCAGACCTCACAGACACCTTACGGTCTCCAGCATCAAATTAAATTCTTCCACCTGGCTTTCAAGGCCTTTCATAATCTTCTGTGCCTCCTTCAATTCC